CAAGTAAAAGCTCTTAACAGTTTCGTTTAGATCGTCCATCATAATGGATCGCCAATCAAAGGAAAGAAAATATTCATTAACCAAATCAAAATTGGCATTTTTAAAGTCATAAGAAAAATAATTAAGAGGCTTCAGAAATTTAGCTTTAACAACAGGTATGGAAAACTCTAGAGCTGGGTGATAACGATCACATCCCACCAGACCGTCAGATGTTACAAGTGAAATAGGCCCAAAGTTGGCAAAACATAGATCCAGGATTGAACCATGATCGTTAGCCACCCCATTGTATTGAGACAGATTAAGAGAAGCAGTACTATCACATAACAATATTTCCTTAGTTGTCCTTACATTTCCAGGTAATAAACCCGAGAGATCCTCACTAGTGGACCACGTTATTTGGGAAAGATTATAATCTCCAAGAACAAGCACATTATCAAACATTTCACAGGCACTAGCAACTGATTTCAAATGGTTTTCATAATGGAGCACATCCATGGTAGGTGGAATGTAGACACAGCCAATCCAGAAGACCATGTCACCCAGCGTAACAGACACCCACGTTTCCTCGACCGATGCTTCACCAATTGACAGGCGATGAGATTTTAGGCAATTATTTACTGCCAAAAGGACCCCACCTCCACGGCTTTTAGTACTGTTCAGACTGCTTCTATCAGAGCGATAAACCGTGTAACGCGAGTCAAGAAATTCGGCATCACAGATACTACAGTCTAGCCAGGTTTCCGTAAGTGCAATAACTGAGAAAGATTCGGCGCGAGCCGCACAGAAAGCATCTTTGAGTTTGGTTTTTAAGCCTCTTACATTTTGGTAGAGAAAGGAAGCACAATCTAACGAGACTGGTCCTCTCTGTCTCCTCTCTGAAAATTTGCATTGGACGGTTTTGCCCCCATACGACGAGGATGAAACTCCTTGACAGCAATGCCTACTGGCCAGAGGTTAGGATCCAGCAGGCCCTTCAAAAGTGATTCTTTAACCCCAATTTTAAATGAAACCACATCTTCATTTTTGTCCAACACCAAGCATTTGACATCAGGAATGGAGAGCTGATTCTTCAAATAGTTTGAGATCTGTTCCTCAGTGGTACTCGGATCACATGGACCCAGATATAGCCACTGGCGTCTCTCACCTGCAGAAAAAAGACCTCCATCAGCACCTGTGCCAATTAATACAGGATTATTACTTGAGCGGTCCGATACTCTCACAGGATTAGGCACTGATTGGCGCTCTATGCTGCGGATTGGTCGCTGGGACTTTTGCTGTCCAGCTAGTTGCAGGCTATTTGATGACTGAAAGCTTCTTGATTCATTCCTGATGGGTACCGCCCGCAGATTAGGAGGGAACTGAGATGGGGTTTGCGAAGAACCTGAGCAGCTTGATGCAGTTTTCATAGAATTCAGGGTTGCAGTAAGCAGCTGGAACTCATTCTCAAGTTTGAGTAACTTTGCCTGTAAATCTTTGTTACTTTGTTCCAGTTCCCTTAGCTTCATATCATAAACAGCAGATGCCGCTGAGTTAGGCATGATAACGCTAGTATTGTCTATTTCCGAAAGATTATATCATGTTTGTATTGGTGAATTTGTTATAATTAAATAGTATTTTGAGTATTTTGTTTTGTAGAGTCTGTATGTCTTTAAATAAAGTCCCCGAACACGTTCCCCATATTGGAATTAGATACCTCAAATGTGCAAGAAAAAATGAATTATAAATACTATATTTGGTTTTATTGGTAAAATAGTGGCGACATTTGAATAATATTGGTAGCATCGGGGTAACTTTTTTAGAAATTTCATTTACGTGTGATTTCCAATTTAAACAATCATCAACTATTAACCCTAGATATTTTATTGATGAGACTTTTTCCAACATGATGTTATTAATTGTAATCTGAACTTCATTAATTATGGTGTTTTTTCTTTTAAATATTATATATTTGGTCTTATCGACGTTTATATTAAGATTATTATAAAACAACCATTTTAGGTATTGTTCCAAGTCTTCATTTACCAAAGCCTGCAGTTCTATTTCATTTTTTGCTGTGTATATCAGTACTGTGTCGTCAGCAAATGCGAAATATCTAGCTTGTAAGTTTGCTGCTTTCAAACTCAAAACATAGAGAGAGTACAGCAGTGGGCCCAGAACAGATCCCTGCGGCACCCCATACAAATTAGTCAGCAGTTCACTCACTACCTCACCCAGCCTTACATATTGCCTTCGATCACAGAGATATGACTTAAGCAAATTAAACATTGTACCCTTAATGCCAATGCTGCTCAACTTCGTCAACAGTCTATCAATATCGACAACATCGAAGGCTTTTCGCAAGTCAACGAATACCGCTATTACAAAGTATTTTTCGTCTAAGGCTTTCGATATATAGTTGAGAAAGTCAAATGTGGCAGCAAGTGTACCACTGTTCTTTATGAACCCGTATTGATGAATATCCATAGCAACATTACTTTCCAGAAATTGTGTAATTCTAGTTTTAATAATTTTCTCTAAGATTTTAGAAAACACACTAATAACCGATATAGGTCTATAATTGTTCATTGATTCTTTGTCACCAGATTTAAATATAGGTACAATTTTACTTTTTTTTAATTCTTGTGGAAAGATGCCCGATGTTAATATATTATTTGTTAGTTGCGTTATGGTTTCTATTACGTAATCTTTAATATTTATTAAGTCTCTTATTGTGATATTATCATCTCCAGACGCACTACTTTGTTTTAGATTCAATATGGTTTTATTTATTTCAGCCTCATCTGTCAATCTAAACTCGTTCAACTCTGTGTTACAAGTGATTTCACTAAATAAATTTTCTAGTTGGTGCCCAGACTCCTCAATTTCTTCTTTTAATTGTTTTATTATATTTTCCCTTATAAAAGCAAAATGCTGATTTAAATTATTTACGATATCGACTTGGTTACTAATTTTTTTATTCATAACAGTCAGTGTGTCAATTTGGGTTTCTTTTGCTTTTGGTTTAAAAAAACTATTAATAAACCTCCATTGTTTTTTATGGTCTTGTCCCGTCTGTGCCCATTTATTTTGGAAATGATGGTTTTTTGCAGATTTTACTTTATTATTGACTTTGTTTTTTAGGTTTTTATATTGTGCCTCAAATAATAGGTTACCAGGATTTTTAATTTTTTTCTTATATGCTAAATCACGCTCCTTCATCACTTCAAGAATTTCCTGATCAATCCAAGTATTGTGTTGCCTTATTTTTATAACTTTTGATATTTCTGAGGATTTTTTGCAGTCCACGATTATCTCTGTCAGCTCTCGAAATGATGAAAGTGTATCGGCGTGCAGCATCCTATTCCTAAATAGAGACACAAACTTTTTGTGATCTACAATAATAAAATTATGTTGGACCTTGGGCTTGAACACTCTTGTATCTTTTTGTATTTCAAATGATAAGCTACAGTGATCGGACAATGGGTTCATATTGACATCAAGGCGATTAATATACTGTCTTGATATAGAATCTGCTAATACATGATCTATTATACTTCTACTATGAACTGCATAACGAGTCGCACAGTTAGGATCAATATTGTTTACAATTTTAAAGTTATTGTAGAGTAGTACATTTTTATAATCAGCAACTAAATTGTTGTCATCTAGCAAATTGATATTCATATCCCCCATTATAATATGTTTTTTTCTATACTTTGTTATTATATTTTCTAAGTCATTTAAAAATTCTGTACCCTTGTAGGAGGGAGGTTTGTAAATCACGCTTAAAGTAAGTTCTTCATTTCCTATTCCAACACATACCCAATTTATAATTTGATTATCTACAGACTGGTCAAGTAATTTGTATTTTATCGAGCTATGTATATATATAGATGTACCCCCACCCCTACCATTACGACAGGAATGAATTGAATGATAATTATCTATTTCATAAAGAAATGTTTCGCTTTTGTCTAACCATGTCTCTGTTAAAGCCAGTACATCACACTTACTATTTAACATAAACCCTTGCAGATCAAAATAAAGTTCCTTTTGGTGGTTGTTATTTTTGATAACACAGAGCCTATACCTATTTAGATTTTAGATTTAGTTTTAAGTAATTTTTTGTAACAAATTGTTGTATTGATGGGTTTTCCAAATAAACGATTTATTATTATTATTAGATGTAGATGCATGGGTAGGTTTTCTTCGAAGTTTTCTTTCTATGCTTGCCTGGTTTTGTTTAAGTAGGTATATAATATTATCAATAATTAGAAATTCTGCCTTGACTACACTTCGAATTATCACAAAGCAATTGAACAAAATCTGAATTAATCCTGTGGGTGGGTAAATTCAAATTATTTTGTTCAATTAAAATAAGCATGTAACACATTGTAGACACACCACACCATATAAATATGGACAAACTCGGGTACAAACAAGGACTGTATAAATTTGTTTCATGACACCCGTTACTTACTGGTTGACGAAGAGAGTGGAATAGAAGATAAAATTACTTATCATTAACTAAACTGCATTCCAATGTCAAATAGCTTTATTTTTACTTTTTTGCAGGCAGCTGTTTGGTGCTAAACTTTAAACACAGAGTGTTTCATTTTAAGGATAAAATGCTCAAATACTAAATAGTAAATAGGCACCGAAATGAAAAGAAGGTATTCTGCTACCCGAGCTACTACCTTTGTTAAGGTCAGTTTTGAAAGAGGCAAATTTATTTAGTTGAAAACAGTTCAAGGGATCCATTTGTTTATGGTTTATGTCAAGGTAAAATAATCTTTTTTCACGGATGCTGCAAGCTGCAAGCCTGCAAGGATGATTTCATTGTATCAACAAATAAAACATTTCGTTCAATGAAAAAATTATTCTAAACGTTGCAAGAAGCAAAAATTATTATTGGCTATTGCTTGTTTACCCAGCTGTCAAAACCAGACAGGTAAAAGGGTAAAATATAAATAGGTATGCCTACTTTTTTTATCAAAAAAATTATGGCATTCAAGACTCACCTCTCCACTCTCAGCTGCCGGGGAATTGTCCAGAATATTGTAAATTATCGGAGGCAGTCCTGGTTTTTGTAATAAGGAAAACCCCAAACTCGAATTATCACTCCGGTTTAGCACTACTAATAACTCTTCAGCCATTGTCGGATACCATTGATTTTGGTATTTTTTACACTTTCTGCACAACACTCGCACTTCGCTCTCTACATAACATAACCTCGTCCTTAACTAATTTATTTCGCATCTTTCAACGATAGGTGGCAGAACCGGTCGGACTTCTTTGACTGTAGACTATCTTTAGAGTGACCGTATACACACAAGAATCAATAAACCCAGTGGCGTCGACAGGCGACAATTAATTATTGCCGTCCTAGTTTTGATTGGTTCTTTAAAATCCTTATATTCATATACAGTGGGTAGGAATCAGCCAAGCTAAATGGAATAAATTGAATGAATTCGATAATGAATAAAATAAAATGGGGATCTTTTCGAAAAAACGCTCGGACACACGTCGATTTTGTTTTTTTGTTTTAAGACTTTTTTCACACCAATTTTTTTGAACAGGGTCCAGGAACAGCTGTATTTTTTCAAAAAGGTATCCCCTGCAGGGATGTGCGTCTACACGTAGACTTTCATTGTCTACTTTACGTGTAGACAATTGTAGACAATGTAGACAAAGTAGACAACGTGTCAACAATGTAAAATAATATAAATGACGTCTAATTCTAACCTCACACTTTCCTTTCCGAAAATTATTTTTATTTTATTATCGGTTTTCCTCATATTTATAATCATAGTGAATGCTGATATCAAAGTGATAGGTATTAGCTACTTAGGTAGTAGTAATTTTGGATCTTTTTTTTAAATTTTCTTAAATGAGTTTATTGTTTACGCCACATGTAGACAATAGGTCTGTTCCCACAGAAGTCTCTGACAGTTTGCAAACTGTCAGTAAGCATCGCCCATACATGTTTACAATGCTTTCGTTACAAGATAAATCTGTAACTCAGCTGAGCGATTGTTTCTGACAGGTTGCAAACTGTCAGAGACTCATGTGGGAACAGACCTAATGTGTAGCCAAATGCCCACGTAAACAATTCGAATTGTCTACGCGTAGACAATCAATTGTTTACGTTGACATTGTCTACACTCTACAGGCACATCACTGATCCCCTGTAGGGTGTATCAAATTCGAGCCACATCATTGGGATCTCGGATCACGGAAACGGTAAAAGATACAGGGTTGGTTAATTTTTTGATGTCCCAAAACCAATGACGTATTGCACTTATTCCGAAAATTTATTATTGGCACTTTCCATAAGAACCTAAAATAGGAACAAATGTGTTAAGCTTAATTCTCACTTGCGCGAAATTCGCTCTTTCTTGACATTACGCATGTTGTTTTATTCACCGTTCTGTTGGCAACGTTGTCTGACTGTTGCTCATCAGAGAATTTCTGTTGGCTTGTTATTGTGTGGGTCCTCATGTGCGGACTGGAAGACGAGCGCACTGGCGTTCAGGCCTATGATTGACCGAAACAATCATGTGACCTGTCATAAGTGCGCTGTCACCTGTCACCAGTCTGCTTGGAACATGAACTTGAAATCTGCGGCCGGTCCGCTGAAAAGTTCATTTTATTTCTACTTTTGTTGGCATGGCATATGAGCGCTACAGTGACTATGAGCGCACTGACCGTTTGTTGTGAAGTGTTGAGGGCAATATTTTTGTTTGAAATTTGAAATTTGGAACTAATGTTATTTTTTCATTATTAATTTTTTTGTTGACTCTTGGTTTTATTTGCGTTTTATTTTGTTGCTGTGCTGAAAAAATACCAAGGGCCCAATTCAATATTTGATGAATAATGATTCCGAACGCTTCCCATTTAATTTACATTGCTGTCAATGAGATACGAATCAAATTTCGTATGCGAAATTTTTCAAGAATTGGGCCACAACTCACAAGACCGGTATTCTCGTAAAACAGCTCAAAAACGATACGTGCGAAACAACGTTATGTTATTTTCAAAAATTCCAAACGAAGCTTTGGAACAATGGGGCTTCCCACATAACAAAATTGCATCCTTAGAATGTATTAAGAATGTTCTTTTTTTAGGAGGAATGTGCCTAGAATGTTCGCCAAAACCATTGCGAATGTCCTGAGAATGTTCTGAGAAAAGATTGTAGAAATACTGTTTGCAATACCCAAGAACTTCCTGGGAAATCCATTAGGATATTCCTAGAATATACCTATGAGATTCTCAGTACGTCCTGAAAAGAATATTCCTGTTTGATTCTAAAAATATGCTCGAAACGTACCTATATTCTCACATTCAAAGAATGTTTCTATGACATTATAGTTTTGTTCTCAAAAGAATATTATACCAATATGCTTGAAATATTCTTAGAATATATCTACATATATCATTCTCAATATGCATCCTAGACATAACATTCTTGTTTGATTCTAAGGATATACTTGGAATGTTAATTTTCGCTTCCAAATAATACTCGTTTCAGCCCTTTTATATTAAAAGCAGTGAAAGAGTTGTTGGAAAACTTCTCTAGAAAACACGAGTATATAACCAAAGCTCCGGTTTCGAGCTTGTTATGCTCTCGTCGAAGCACGCCAACTGAGAGAAACAGGTTCCAAGGTGATTCAAATGCGAGGCAAGATGTAGATCTTTAATAGCGCGTCGCTCCCTCTCTTGGAAGTCAAACAAAGCAAAAGAAAAAGAATATACCTATATTATTCTTAGTAGGTTCTAGGTAGAGCATTATTGTTCAATTGTATAATTAAGATTTTTGAGTAGGTACTTCAGATAATTAGGTGAACAATATGAAAATATTCTTATCATGGTTACCTACCTACATAAGCTTCTCAGCACAACTTGGTAGGTATATTCTTAATACTTGATAGAGATATTAGCTTAAAGAACATTTTTTAGGGTACATTATAATAATGTTCGTATGAGAATATTCAAAGAATGTTATATAAAGTAGGTTCTTAGCACAATCTTTCAGGTAGGTGCATAGAAGCAACATTCCTAGTACATAAAAAGAACGTTCAAAAATGAATATTTCAATCGAAACAATCATAGAATATTCATTGAACATTTCTAAAAGAACATTCCAAAAAGTACTTTGAGGGAATATTTTGAGAATATGAATGTTCTTTCACTGTTATGTGGGTTCCTAATAGCAGTTCGTTTTTCAATAAAAGGTTCGACTATAGACAATTTTGTTATGTTGTTTCTGGTGCCATTCTCAGAAAATTTAAATAGTTATTTACCTAACAAGTGCGGAAAGTGGTCCTTTACCGCACGCGACGGCAGTTGCACGAACGACGCGAAGCGGAGTTCGGGCAAGCCGTCAAGGGCGGTAAAGGCACTTTACGCACGTGTTAGGTACAAAATTTTTCCTTCGAGCAAATAATTTTTGGAATAAAAATCTAATAAGAAGTAAAAATGCATAAAAAGTAGCAAATATTGATTGTTACAAACAATAAATGATTTTATTTTATGGATTACGCGAATGCAAATACCTTGAATGCATGTTTTTTTGAAATTTTAATACAGTGCGGTGAAGAATATCTTTACCGCACTAGTGCGGTAAAGGATTTTACTGCACTGAAGAAAAAAGGTAAAAATTCAAGGTAAAAATAAACTGCAACTGGTGGCTGACTAGTGGCAGTGCGGTAAAGGATTTTTACAGCACTGAGTGCGGTAAAGAATTTTTACCGCCCTAGTGCGGTAAAGTACTCCCTACGGGACGCAAATGAGTGCGGTAAAGGGTACTTTACCGCACGCTCGTAGGAAAAATTTCTTCCTATCATTTATCCTCATTTCCTCAATCAAATTATTGCTTGTTCCTTGTTGCAACCTTTGTTATTCAGTGAAGATTTCTCTCACTCAAAAATCTTTTTCTTTTTTGATCTTATAAATAACAAATAACAGAAAGTTTAGCAACGTTTCTCTGCATGGTATGTCTATGCCAAGATAAGAGGGATATTTTCAAGCAAAAAACAAAAAACCTAACAATACAAAATTATTATGTTCAGTGGCGACGCGTCACCAGTAGCCTGGGAGGGGTAAATGGTACGGGTGGCTGAGAGGGCGCCCTCCAAAAACGCGCCGCGTGCGAAATTTTTTTTGCAAATTTCAAGGTCATTCACTTTTCCAGAACAATTATTTCATTTGTGAGAAAAATAAAACAAAACAAAAATGTATTTTCTTCGATATATTATGTATTTTCTTTTTGGCATCGTGATTTTTCTCGTGATAATTCGACCCGTGGGCCGAAAGTAAATGAAATTTTTAAAATTTATTGTATTTTTTGACTTTTACTTTCGGCCCACGGGTTGAAAGTAAACTTTCGACCCGTGGGCCGAAAGTAAATGAAACTGTCAATTATTGTATTTTTTAGTTTTAATTCAAATAAAAATTTCAAAATTCGAATGATTGTAAATAAAATAGTATACATACCTCGGTGAAAAGTTTCATTACTGTCGAGAGATTTTAGTTAGACCGAGGCACAGCCGAGGTCTAACTAAAATCTCGAGACACTTTCCACCTCGGTATGTAATATACTATTTTTACTTTTTAGTTATTTCCTATCAAAACTCTCTTCTCTGTCTCTCTCTAACACATTTAGTTCTTATGGAAAGTGCCAATAATATAATTTTTCCGAATAAGTGCAATACGTCATTGGTTTTGAGACATCAGAAGCCTATAAAATCTAAAATAAAAAATAGGGGTCCGTATTTAAAAAAATAAAGTTGATGATAGTGACCCGGAAATGAAACGTCAGATTTTAAATTTGATGGTGTCATCTTGTAGAGGAGAAAAAGTGGCAATGATGAAGTGTCATTCATTTCGAAATATCTCTTCAAATAAGGTCAGGAAAAAATAAAATCATTTTGGGTGAATTTCGGTTTTTTCCAGATATCTCCGGTAGCAACCGGAATTTTCAAAATATCAAGGCATCATTTTAATGAGCACAAAATTGCACTTTTACTCAGAGTAACACTAGATAACTAAAGAGGACAAGTTATTCATAAAATCACTTGGTTTCTGCGGCCAACAATTCTAAACGACAATAGTGGATTAATGAATGAACTACATGGAGTGGGGATAAGATTGCGGACAATCCGGACCAATTACAAACAAAACCCGTTTGACATTTCTTACACATGACATTCGCGATTACGGTCGGGCTTGCTCTGGAAACATTTGCATCCTTCTTTATCTAGTTATCTTAACAAAGATAAAATGATTCAGGTGGGCGTTCCTAGACGAATACAACAAGCTCCGAGATTTTAGGCAGTGTTGCCATTTTCAGCTAGCAATTCAAATTTTATTGTGATAATAGATTATTATTTTATATAATAATTATTCTTATTCAATTTTGGAAAGCACCGCGATATTTTATGTTATAATTGTATATACATATACCTATCTAGGTTTTTATATTTTCGATATATTTTTTTTCAATTTCCAATTCCACTTTCCCTGCAACTTCGGACAATTTATAAATATGGCACATCTGCAGTAAGTATCCGCAAGTGAGCTTAGAATGGGAGTCAATGTTTGGGGCATTTTTTAATCACAATAAACATATCTATTTCATGTGTTAATCTGAGGTTCAAAACAATCGCACAGTTTATTATTGAAATTTGTAATGGATAATAGATGGATGTAAGGTCTGTTCTAACAGAAATCACAAACCAGTCAGAGCGTTTTTGATTGGTTCAAATCGCCAACAATCAGTTATCTGACTTTTTTCAACCAATGAAATTCGCTCTGACTGGCTTGTGATTTCTATGAGAACAGGCCTATAACCTACTGGATAGGCTCGCTTTATAATTTTTGAAGACAATCACAGTTTTCAGGTCTAATGACAATCCAGTGGACCTAGTCTATTTGATATGACATTGTATCTCGGAATTTGCCTGAGCTTGGTTCGAGTCAAATATTTCATGCATGAGAAACAAATACCTTGTGTTTTAAATTTACTTGTAATGACATAACATAGAACTAAACAACTCAGTATTGAAACTAAACCAGAAGTGAGGTTTTTGAGGGGACTCATATTGATGAAAAACTAGAAAATTTCTAAATCATAAGAAGATCAAAGTTAAATGGTAGTTGGGGGATCCTGTGCATAAATGATATGTATGACCAGTTTCACCTCCAGGATGATAATGATAGTGTTTGTATAGTTTTCTATAAACCAACAAAATGAACAATAAGCTAACATGATTCATTTATTTTCCAAAAAAAAAAATTACCTACATATACCTACGGATAAAATGTAATAAATTGAGAATGCAACAATATAATAATTTTTCCCAAAACTAGGTCAATAATGGACTTGAAACCAAAAAAAATTTAAAGGAAAATATTAATATTCACATACAATGTTAATTTCACTACTACCAGATTTTTTTCAATTTTGTTATCACAGGACTTTACTTTTTTTTCTTAACAATAACTGGTCCAACATTGTCGCCATGTTGTTTATTGTGAGTAGCATGAGTACCATCACAGTAGGGCCACTAAAAAATAATAAATTGATAAAATGTTAAATTGGTTTCAGAAAAGATTTACATTTTTGCTTTTCCAGCATCTACAGAACGCAGCTTGATCAGCAATATCTTCTACATCAATGGCGTCAACAACTTTAGGGTTGCTGAGTTGAACTACATGGTTTACTCTTCTGGGGCCACCTTCTCTAGCTTTGGGACAGAAAGCTTTGTAAAAAGTATAACCTAAGCCTGCGGCAACGGCAGTTGGGGGAATCAAAGCCAACCAATCCTTGACTGAAAATTAAAAAATATTAATTAAAGAAAGCCATGAAATATATACACAGATGAGAGCTAGGATAAGGTTTATTTTATCATAACTTAAAGCCCAAGTTTTAGCGACCTTAGCACTTGACAAAAATCTAACTAGGTAAGTATTTAATACAATTTATTTTTTATTTATCTATTTTGCAACCAATTACACAGAGTTTATTGTAGGGAATAGATTATTCATCTAAAGAAGACAATAATACTTAGGTATTTTTTAAAAATGATAAATTAGAAAAAAAAGTAGCAAAATTAAATAATGCGTAGAATCAAGCATTTTTTTGTTTGTTTTTGTAGTTTTAGGTTTTTATAGTTACTTATATAGCATAGACAAGTATATAGCTGCGAAAATATTATTGTAATTCAATACCTATACCTTTGTGTTATAGCCATCTTTCCTTTTCCCAAAATTCCTTCTTATACTATTTTGCTATATACTTAAAATGATTGTTTTGTCTTGTATATCAACATTAACCTTGGGTGAAGGTACGCTATTTTGTTTCTCCAGAGTTATGTTCGTTAGAAAAGTTAACACTTAAACTATACCTTTTCAACTTCAAATTGGGACTAAACAACTTTAAGTTGGGAACTAACAAAATCAAATTGAGAATTAACAATATCAAATTGGGAATAATCATATTTAATTTGGTACTAATCAACTTCAAATTGGGACTAATCAATTTTGATTTGGGAAGAAACAAATTCGGAATAGAGTTATTCAATTTAGCAAAATATATTTGAGACTTTGACTTTGAGTTTGTTTTTCCTCCCGATTACATTCAAGTCCCTTAGAGAATCATGAACTATTTCTTCGAATTTGAGAAAAATATTTGTGCCAGAGATGTAGCTCATATTCAACGTATTATACATGCGCTAAACATGGCTGATTAGTGATTTGCAAATCGCGAATGAAAACATTTCATCAAAATGACATTATGTTCAAATTTTTCTTTTATTTCAGCGTAATTTCAGGATTTTCCTCTATGTATCCAGTCATTTATACCTAATGTTCTTCTGAAATGTTTGCTTTTCTTTGTCCCCCACGTTTCCTTCGAACAACTTCTTGGGAACCTACCCATCGATAAGCTGTAGATTTTTTTAAACCTATACCTTTTCAACTTCAAATTGGGATCAATCAATTTCAATTTGGAACGTAGCAATTTCAAATTGGAATTAATCAACTTTAAATTGGTACCTAACACGTTCAAAATGGGAATAAACAAAGTCAAATTGGAAATAAACAATTTGAATTTGGTACTAATCAACTTCAAATTGGAACTGTTGGATAAATTTTAAAGTTTTGCAATTCAAACGGCAGTTACGCGTTTAAACCGTATATTAAATTAACAAAATGCCTTAAATTAAAGCACCTAATGCAGACAATGCTGAAAAGCAAATATGTGCTGTTTTTAATAACAACGGCGATTGAAGAGGATTAGCTAACACACTGGATATAAAAAAACAACAGCTTATCGTTGGGTAGGTACCCAAAAAGTTGTTCGGAGGAAACGTGGGGGACAAAGGAAAGCAAACATTTAAGAGAAGCATATGGTATAAATGACTGGATACATACGAGGGAACTCCTGAAATTACGCTGAAATTAAAAAAAAATTTGAACAAAATCTCATTTTGACGAAATGTTTTTATTCGGGCTTAATGGCCGTCGTAAGTTGGAATTTCTTCCTGACGTCTGGTAGCAGACTGCTATCAGAATCGGACATGGAAGCACCTCTGGAGATGCTAGCCACGCGTGCTAGCGAAACGTGAGGAAGAAATTCCAACTTACGATGGCCATTAAGCCCGAATGAAAACATTTCATCAATAAACCCGGACCGCGAAAGCCTCAGAAACTTTTTCAAAACCTCATTTTATTACTGTTCAAAGTCCCTTTTTCATTAACATATTGATTTTGTTCACTAGCAAACCTTCATTTATATTAATACCTAAATCGAAATAGGTCTATTCCCAATTTGAATTTGTTTGTTCCCAAATCGAAATTGATTAATCGCAATTTGAAGTTGATTAGTACCAAATTGAATTTGATTATTTCCAATTTGATTTTGATAATTCCCACTTTGATATTGTTAGTTCCCAATTTGAAGTTGCTTAGTCCCAATTTGAAGTTGAAAAGGTATAGTGTGTTAGCCAATTTTCTTCAGTCGCCTTTGATATTAAAAACAGCACATATTTGCTTCTCAGCATTTTCTGCATCAGATGTTTTAATTTAGGGCGTTTTGTTAATTTAATATACGGTTTAAACGCGTAGCAGCCGGTTGACTTGCAAAACTAAAATTTATTCAACAATTCCAATTTGAAGTTGATTAGTACCAAATTTAAATTGTTTATTTCCAATTTGACTTTGTTTATTCCCATTTTGAACGTGTTAGTTACCAATTTAAAGTTGATTAATCCCAATTTGAAATTGCTATGTTCCAAATTGAAATTGATTGTTCCCAATTTGAAGTTGAAAAGGTATAGTTTAGGAAAATTTAACTTACAACTAAGAATTTCACGGTGCGCTTATGTAGTTCTTAATTCTTAGTAGATAAGTCTTAGTTTTTTTATGAACTGCTACATTACATATCATGAATGATGCTTTATTAAGGTATAAATTTACAATACAAATATACTACTTATTATATTATCTAAATGGTAAATGGTTTATATATAACAGCACCTAGATGCAGAGCATCTGTATGTGCTTCTAACTTACTTTATATATATATATATATATGTTATTTCCATAGGAATTCAAATTTTTTCGAATGCTGAGAATTTAAGTATGCACGTTATTGTCATCGAATCAAAGCAGTTTTTCAAACAAAATCCGATTTGTCCAAACGAATGCCTTCGATCTTTTTGAAAACAGTTTTGGTTTTACAACATTTTTCACCTCAGTGGGTAATAGGTTGTAAACCTTTGGACCCATGAAACCAATTGAGCGTCTATAATATTTGCTTTTACATTCCAGAATCCTCAAAAGCTGATTTATGCGAAAGCAGGTGTTTTGATTATGTAACACAATAGGCTGCGTCTTGCGGTGTTTATGAATGTAACAACTAACTGAGTAGAAGAATAGAGTTCTCAAATTTACTATTTCCTCAGTATATAGCATATTTATGGGATACAGATAATCTTTTTTATAAATTATTTTTAAAATTTTATTTTGAACAATTTGTAGCGGCCTCAGCGCATTCTCATACATCGAACCCCAGATCGTGATACCATATGCTAACAAAGATTCCACCAGACTCCGATACAGTGTGACCAACATGTTTGATTTATTTATTTATTTATTTATGTATTTATTTATTTATTTATTTATTTATTTATTTATTTGATCATACATACAAATTTTGATTCACAATAAGTTGTAAGAATTTGCTGTAAATTAAGTTCACATTAAACAAGATTCATTTTGTAGCACCTAGATGTTATAAACATCTGTATGTGCTCTAGATGTAGGTACCCAATATTTTAAATTTAATGTTAGGGATATGTTATACAATTAAGGAGAATCAAAAAATCGAAAAAAACATCACAAATACTTAAGGTGGGTTTATACAGCACATAACATAACATAAGAAATAAGATAAAATAAGACATAACATAATATAAGAAATAAGAATTTTGTGGCGTTTATACAGAAAATAACATAACATAAGAAATAATTTCTAACCAATCAGCTGGTTTGTGTACTTATGTAAACTTTACCGAAAACACTATTTGATCAAAAAAAATATTAATTAATAATTTAGCAGTAACAGAAAATCAATATCGAATTCTAAAAAATTACCAATAGCTGAAAACAGAATCAAAATATTTTTTTTTTGGTTGGAATGTTTTGTTTACTACTCCGCCATTGCAGAAATCAAGGGAGGAGCATGCGCAGATCCGTTTTCACATAAAATAAGACATAAAAGTTAAAAGTTAACCAACTTTATTATTTCTTATGTTATGTTATTTTCTGTATAAACGCCATAAGGGGTTTCCATAAGTTCAACTTTTTATCTTATGTTATGTTATTTCTTATGTTATGTTATGTGGCTGTATAAACCCATCTTTAGACGGTTTGCGAACACAAACAGTTCACAACCTCTTTTCCCCTATTTAAGAAGAAAAATGACAAAGAAAAAAGAAAGTAACAAAATGAATAATCGACAAAAACCTCGTTATCACCCACTTAACCCCAATGCCAAATCAAACCTAATTTAACTTAATCCTGAATTAAACCTACACCCAAATTAGGCCTCAATCAAACAACCTTTCAAATTGACGGTGATTTCATAAAACGGTCTCTTTGCTTAGAGTTCTGAAAGATTTCAAATTTCCACATTGTCTTATGGAGAAAGGCAATAAATTGTAAATTTTTGGTCCTAAATAATTTATATACTTTAGATTTAAATTGTTGCCGCTTCTACTCTAAACCAGTGGCAACATCGCTATTTTAAATGAAACACCCCGTATTTAATTGCATATTTGGATTCTACATAAAATTCTGAGCAGATTTCATGTGATGACGGGAAGGGGAGTCAATTGATGATTGGAGGGTTTTTAATTCCATAGATTTTGGTACTAAATTTTAATCCCTAAGTTCAACTGTTTTGGAAATATTGACAGTTGAAAATTGACTTTTTGCAACTTTGACAGGCTGTAAAACCTGAACGGTTAATTTTAGAGAAAAATCGATTTTACATTCCTATCTTAGATTTTTAGAAATAGAAATAGAAATAGAATATATTACTTGTTCTGTTGTATTTACAATACATGTGCCTTTGTGGCGTAGAACTTGTCATTTTTTTTTTTCACAATAAATTAAAAACCTAAATTAAAACTAAAATCGTACATACTACATATAACATATATCTAAGTAAAGAACAACAAACAACATGAAATGAAAGTGAAAAATTACCCCGTTTTACACAAAATCTGAGGAGACACATGGACACTCTCTTTGCTAGTCACAGGAG